TTTTTCTTTCTCTCAGCTCTTTCCTCCTATTATATGCCTTATTTGTAGGGAGTTAAAAATCTTCACTCCAATGCCTATATATGAAGAAGATAACCCTACTCTTCCATATTATTAATCAGTTATCAGTCTTTTCAATGATTTTACCATGACCCTTGGGTACCTATTGTAGCTGCTGTTCTTGGAGGACACAGAGAAGAAGAAATAATATCTACCCTCCATGAGCCCAGGATATAATGGGGAACAAAAGAGACCCATATAAATGTATTATGAGGCAAAAACAAATAAACCAAAAACATTACAAGGAAAGTGATATAAGGAAAAGGAAAATAGGGATGACTTCCTGGAAGATGTTAGTTTGGAGCATCTGAGGCTAAGGGGTAGGGTGTACTTTTATATGGGATGGACAAGGATTATCTCACTGAGAAGCCAACATCTCAGCAATGACTAAAAGATAGAAAATAAGTTGTGCAACTGTCTAGGGGAAGAATGCTCCAAATGGAGGACAAAGGCTATGAGGTTAAGCATATTTGGTATTTCTGCCATACACAAGGAAGGCCATGTGGCTGGGGCAGAAGGAGAAGAAAATAAGAGCGAACAATAATATCTGAAGATAGAGGTGGACTAGATCATTTAGAAACAAGTAAGCTGTTGTGAGGAGTTTGACTTTTATTCAAAATGATATGGGAAATGATCTGAGCTGTTTGAGTGAAAGAGTGACACAGTCTGACCTACCTAATGCTAGTGATATTGGAGTAGGATGGTAGAAATAAATGTGAATAGAAGTAGTCTAATTCTAAATATATTTTGAATCAATAATGGATTGAAGTAAATTTGGAAAGTATAAGGATGAGGTAGGTAGTTGAAAATGGATCCTTGGACGAAGAAGATGAGAAGGACCTAATGACGGTGTACTTAGGTTGTCCCACTAACTATATGGCCTCCAAGTATCGGCACAGTGGTTGGGTTTATAGCAAAGGTTCCCAATAAATAACCCACTAGCAAAATCTCTCATTAATAGTTTTGTCTAGCCCATAGTGTTTACAACTTCTAAAAATTAGTTGACAATAAGATAAAAAAATTAGTTGTCAATATTTTAAAATTCAAAAGTTTTGACCAAAATAAAAAAATAGGTTCCAGGTGTCTCTAAAAATTAGCAACATTGAGCCAGTGGGCAAAAGTTGACAGGAGCTAAATTTAGGTACTGGATGCCTCCTTTTGCCAGAGCATGTATTCTCAAGTTCTCTAGTCACTCCCCCTTCCTATTATTTCCCCCAAGCTAAGACTAAATGTTATTGCTACATGTGTTGCTGTTTTCGTATAGAAAAGTTAAGAGAAAGGGAACAATTCCTTGTTCATCAAGAAATTTTTTTCCTATGACTTACTTCACTTAATTTACATTACCTCCCTGGACTCTCTTAATTTCTGAGCTTGTAACTCCCAGTGTTGTGGAAAGAGGCCTAGATTCAGTCCTTGTCCCTGTTTTTGGCAACCTACTACTCTGTGACCCCAAGCATGGCTAATAGTCTCTTTGAATCCCAGAGTTAGGAACCAAACTGGATGTTCTGTAAAGAACATCTTAAAGAGCTTGGGATCTTGCAGTAAGCCAGTGAGTACCCTGCTCCCTCTTCCACCAGCCAGGGGCCTCAGCCTGGTGTATATATCAGAGAAAGAAGACACTGGAATGAGTAAGTACTTATATTAATTATGTATAACTTGACCCCATAGCCAGGGAGAGGAATGCACACTCTGTGTGTGTGTGTAGGTGGCTAGAAATGGACTCAAGGAAGATGTACTTGTATAGGTTGTGCTTATCTGTTCCTGTTCACCTTCTGTATACCAGGCTCAGATCTAGGTGTGAAGGATACAGCAGTGAACCACATAGATGAGGTCTCTGTTATCGTGGAGCTTATTTTCCAGTGAAAGACATAGATAACATTCAAATAAATAAATGAGATAATTTCCAATAATGGAAAGCTTCATGAAAAAATAAAACAATGATTTGAAAAAGAGTTTCTGAAAAGGCAAGGTGTGCACATGGGTGTTATGTAAATGTGGTACATGTACTTGCAGATGGGTCTAAGTTCTGGGTACACATGTTTATGCTTGTGTTCATCTGTGAAGATGAGCAGATTTGTGCTTACAATGGTTATATATTAGTATACATGATTTTATGCAAGTACACATTGGTGGGCTGGTATGTGGTACATATGTGGACACTCATGCATGGGGACATACATCAGTATTCAGCTGTAACTAGAGATGTTCTGGAGTTGCTGTAGCATTCGTCAGTGGGCCCATTAAGGAAATGGTTTTTCTGCCTCTGGTATTCAGGGCCATTTGCCAGCTTCCTTTCTCCTAGTTCCTTCCTACTTTAGTAAGCTCTCTGTGCTTGGCTCCTCTTAGCCCTATGAGAGTTAAAGCCAAGGAGAGGATAGAACCTGGCTTATCCAGCCAGAAGCTGGAAAGAGGCTGATAATCTTCTGTGTAACCTCTGTCAGTAAGAAAAGGCCTGGCTTCCCTGCCAGTCCCCATCGCTCACACTGTGAGGGAAAGAGTCCTGACTTGAAATCAGAAGACTTAAGGATCTATTCTTGGCTCTGCCACTTATTATTGTGTGACCTTGGCCAGATACTACATCTCTCTAGGTTTCAGTTTCCTCCTTCCTAAGTACTCTGGGTAGTAAGGAAGGAGAAGGAACACAATGGCCTCTAGTACTGAGGGGAGGCTGTGTGGCACTGTGTCTGAAAGAGGAGTATCATTCTGACCAGAGGCAATGACATTATCAAAAGTGTGGGGGTGGTCTTGAGCTTTGTGCATAAGGGAAGCCAGCAAGAAACCACTTAGAGTAAAATTCAAATTTACCACTGCCTGCAAGGTCCTACATGATTTGGCTGCTATTTGTTTTTCATTTTTACCCAACTTCTTGCTCATTATACTATAACCATAATGTTATTTCCATTAGATGCTCTTTCTGCCTAGAATGTTCTTCCCAAAAATTAATATGGTTACCTAGCTGGTGCCTATGGTTACCAGCTTTCTTATGCAGGTGTTAGCTGAAATACCACCTTCCCAGAGAGAGACCTTCTCTGACCCTCTTATCTGAAGCAGTTGGCACTTAATATTTATCAGTATTTAAAATGCACATATCTTTTGACCCAATAATTCATCCTACAAACACACTTGAAACTGATTTAATATTCTTGAAGCATTGATGGTTTAAACAAATTAGGGTACCTACAAATAGAAAACAAAGAGATTGAGCTTTTTTAGTTTTGGTTGAGAATATCAAGGTATATTGTTAAGTTTTAAGAAGCAAATAATTGATCCCTGCACTTAAGATATATACAGCTTATTGAATATAATTAAATTGAATATAATTTTTAAAAGATAAAGAATAATGCGTATTGTATGCCATCATTTGTGTACAAAATGAGAATATATAAACATAAATGTATATACATGTTTATATAATAGGCCTGTTCCTTGAGTTGAGTAGTTCTTCCACCTCCTGCCCTGTGCTAGATTGGAGACCGTGAGGTGCTTATTTCTTTTAAAGTCTGATTTTTTAAATTCAATTTTTAAATATCTGTCCTCAATAACATTTTATGAAAGATGCTAATGGTATAGGCTTCTTCCAAAGTGATTATTTTGGTCACTCCACACTAGCTGAGTTACCACTGGGCCTCCATTCTAGTAGGTGTGGCTCTGTTGGCAAACTGATTGTCTCTTAAAAGTTACACAAAATATTAGTAACAATAGTTGCTACTAGTCAGGGTGATTGGGAGATAGGAAAGGGAGGGACACTTATCATTACATATCTTTTTATACAATGCCCTTTGTATGTATTACTTATTTTTATAATCAGAAAATCAGAAAAAACATGGAGGGAAACATTCTTATACCTAAATTTTTGCATACAATCAAGATAGCTCCTAGGGCTGGGGATTTAGCTCAGTGGTTTCGCCACCTGCTGCGCAAGCGCAAGGACCGGAGTTTGATTCCCGGTACCAAAAAAAAAGATAGCTCCTTAAGAATGTGCTCCTTTTTTTGTTTTTTTTGAGACAGGGTCTCACTATATAGCCCAGGTTGACCTTGAACTTGGGGCGATCCTCCTGCCTCAGCCTCCTGAGTGCTGGGATTACAGGCATGCAGTAGCATGCCTGGTTTAAGAGTATGTATTTTTAGAAAGTATTTCTTCTCAGTCATTCATTGTTATATCATTCTGCTTAACCAGGTCAAAGCTAGGGAGGAGAGAAACAGAAATCACTTGCTAGAATGTGGAAGTTTTTTATGAATTTTTTTCCTTTTTGGTGGGACTGGGATTGAACCCAGGGCCTTGTATGTGTTAGATAGGTGCTCTACCACTGAGCATATTCCCAGCCAAAAAGGGGCGATTTTCAAACTTTAAATGTACGTTCGAATGACCTCTAACCTTGTGTCAGCTTGTTATGAAAAAGCAGATTCTTGGACTTTGTGGTTCTGATTCAGGAAGTCTGAGTTGAGGTCTAGAAATCTACATTTTAACAGATTTCCCAGGTAATTTGAGTACAAGTAATCTGGAGACCCAGATTTGATATATCATCAGAAAGACACATCTGTGATATTAATTTTTCTTAACACATGCAAGAGAAGGGACCATCACTATATTTTATCAACATAAAAAAATGAGGCTCAGGGCCAGGGATTTAGCTCAGTGGTTTCGCCGCCTGCTGTGCAAGCGCAAGGACCTGAGTTCAATCCCCCGTACAAAAAAAAAAAAAAAAAAATGAGGCTCAGAGATGGACAGTACACTTTGCAATGACACAATGTATAAATGTACAAAGTGTTTTGAAAAGCCAAAGTGCAGTACCTGTCTAGTCAGTTCATAGTATGGGGGGAGATGCCTCACTCTCACAGGCCCAGGCATTAGTGTTACTAGGTGGATTTTATAACTGTTCCTGTCTCTTGTTTGAGGTCACAGCTTGTACCCCTAATCACTGGTTCTTTCTGGTATATCTCAGGGAGGGCAATGAGCCAGGAGAGACCACCCAGATCACATACCGTGAACTTCTGGTCCAAGTGTGTCAGTTCAGCAATGTTCTCCGTAAACAGGGTGAGTGTGAGGGTGTGGGAAAGGCTGGAGGGCTTGGCACTGGGATCTGAGGATTTGTGAGGAGAGAGAAATAAATGGAAGGAATTCGGTAATAGGGGAACAGAAAAAGTTAACTGGGAGAAGGGCCAGCTGAATGGATGGGAGCAAGTAGCAGCTCATTGTCAGGAAAGTTCATTGTCAACATTCTGTGTCTTTTACCTGCAGGCATTCAGAAGGGTGACCGGGTGGCCATCTACATGCCCATGATCTTGGAGCTCGTGGTAGCAATGCTGGCCTGTGCCCGTCTTGGGGCTTTGCACTCCATTGTGGTAGGAGTTTGGGCTGGTGAAATTGGGGAGGGGTTGAGAACATGGATCTGGAGAAGTAGGTTGGGCCTGGATGATGGAGGATCTTAAATAACAAACTGAGGAGCTTAGTGTGCTAACGTCATAGGTCTACATCAGTTATTCAGTTTCTTCTAGGACCCTGGCTTAGAGATCCTAAGTATTTCATGAACCACTACTTTCCTTGTTCACTCAGTCCCTGGGATCTCCCTCAGTTTTTCTTTCCTTCCCTAGTTTGCAGGATTCTCTGCAGAGTCCCTATGTGAACGGATCCTGGATTCCAGTTGTAGCCTTCTCATCACTGCAGGTGACTGATTCTCTCACTCTTTTTCCAGACCCCACCTTGAGTCTTAATCTCCAGTCAGCTCTTTGGTTTGGGGCTGCTTAGGATGGAGGGTAGGACTGCCTGCCCTTCCTCTTCAAGTCCCACCTCAGCTAACCCTCTGTCAGCCCAAATCAGCTACAAAAGCCAGAGTCAAGAGGCCCATTTAGGAAGGGCCCTGTGCACACTTTGCCCACTGGGGAGGATCATTCCTACTAAGTCCTGGAATGTCTGTTGCTCCCCAAAGATGCCTTCTACAGGGGGGAAAAACTTGTAAACCTGAAGGAGCTGGCTGACGAGTCACTGGAGAAGTGTCGGGAGAAGTAAGTTTGCTGGCCTATTGGCTACTGCCCTGGGTTGACTGGGCCTTTCCCCAGTGCCAGCTTCCCATTGTCCCCTCCTACCCTAGATGGACAGGGATGGGTCTTGCCAACTTCCCTTTTGAGCCAATCAGGTTACCACTTCAGGCTTTTCTTTCCTTCAGGGGTTTCCCAGTGAGATGCTGCATTGTGGTCAAGCACTTGGGGCGAGCAGAGCTTGGCATGAGTGACTCTCCCAGCCAATCTCCCCCAATGAAGAGGCCATGCCCGGATGTCCAGGTGAGTATGGCACTGTTATACCCTCCTCAGGGCTCGAATTTCCACCCATTTCCTGCCTAAGAAGTTCCTAAAGTCTTCTTTTGCTGCCTTATCATAATGCTAAGGCTCTGGAAGCAGTCGCAAGAATGCTTCCTGTGGCAGGGCTGGTTTAGAGCAGGGGACTTTGACCTTAAATATGAGAGGAAGGCCTTTGGGCCTCAAGAACTTAACATGAGAGGTTATGAAGGAGACTCTGCTGGTTGGGGTATCTTGACAGACACAGAAGACCCTCAGGGTTTGGGCTTGGATTAGAAATGTGCTAATTTGGATGACTGTATGTAGTCATTTCAACTGGAATATGATTTGAGGTGGGCTACCTTTCATGGCCTAGGGGATGGCTCTTGATAGCTTTGGATCCAGCACTTCTGGTGGGAGTAGTAGAAAAGCTCAGTGCTGGCCTTCAGGTCTGAGGGGCATAAGGCATGAAAGTTCTGAGGTCCAAAAGGATAGAAAGCCACTTAGATTCTCTGACATGAAGGAACCTGAGTGGTATTGGGGATAGAGATGCTGTAGTTTGGTTTAGGTAGGTTGGACAGCCCAATGAATGTTAGGGATCTGCATGCATAAGAGGTGGAATCAGATTTAGCAAAACAGAGGTAGGGGGAACCAGAGAAAGGGGAGCCAGAGGGATAAGAGGCATCCAGGGGTTTAGGACACACTCACCCTTCCTTCCTACTCCTCTATCCTTGAATCCTGCTCATCAGCCTTTCCATTCCATGGGCTCTTAACAGGGTAAGCTGAAAGAGAAATTCAAGCGCATCTGGCCCCAGGTATCCACTTCTGCACTGCCTTGGGCATAGCTTTCCTGTGTGCTTATCTGTGTGTCCAACTGCTCTTTGCCTGTTTGTCCCATTAGAGTGGCTGCCAGACCTCTCCCCCTTCCCCTTGCTCCTAGACACCTAGTAACATCCATGCCCTCCAAAGTGTTGTGAAATCAAATATCTATTGCTGCCTCTGTTGACTAGCATGGAGCAAGGAGCTCAGAGAGGTAGTAACAGACATCCCATTTCACTCCTGCTGCTCGGGACCTTTGTGGGAGAGGGAACCAGATAACCAGTCAGAAAGTATTTACTGTGCACTTAGCTGAATGGAGCCAGAAGAGACAAAGGAGGAGCAAATGGAGGAGGTACAGACCTTGGCCTTAGAATTCACCATCAAGTTGGGAAGTTAGACATGTATTACGAAAGAATGAGTTTTATACAGGACAGCAAAGAAAAAGATTCTAAAATATATTTGTATACTTCTTTGGGATTTAAAATTCCACATAACTCTTTGATGTGATTAAATATTAAAATTGAACCAAAGTTATACTCTAGGTGGTTCTAAGAAGAGAGATCCATAGGTGAATGCTCAAAACAGCTTAGTACAGAGGAGAGAGGAGACCTGGATTCCAGAGACCAATTCTTCGCTGTATGACCTTGTATAAGTCTCTTCTCCTCTCTAGGCCTCACTTTCATTAGTAATAGAGATGATAATACATACTTGAAAGAAAACAAAACATAAAGCTCACTGCTCCTATGAGTTTTACCATTTTTACAGGCTACCTGGCCCTAAGTCTAATGGCACCTTTTATGCTAATGGTACACCTTTCTCTATTCTTATTAGCACAGTGGAGACAGATCTGATTCCTAGAGAACCCTACTTTCCTTCTAAAACTCAGGCAAGGATCTAAGCCCTTCTTTTCAAAGAGCTAACAAATTTGGTAGTTTAGGGTATAAGCTCTGGAGCTAGACTACTCAGGTTCAAATCCTAGCAGATCTGCCATCTGCTACTGTGTAAAGTTGGGCAAGTTACTTAAGCTCTCTTGCTTCTGTTTCCCCATGTATTCTTATAGAGTTTTGTCAATATAGGTGCTTGGCACATAGTAACTAACCAGATAAATGTTAGCCATTATTACTTCCTTTGACAGTGCAACCTCACAGTTCTACCTTAGGCTTTAGGCTTCTGGGTTTTTGTTTCTTGGAGATAAAAACAGTTACCAAAAAAACCCAAACAATATGAATATAGTCTTACAAAATCCAGTGTTTTTATTTGTTTCTTTGGGGTTTTTTTTTTTTTTGAGACATAGTTTGCTAAATAGTTTAGGCTGGCCTTGAACTCACTGTGTAGCACAGGCTGGCCTCGAACTCACCGTGTAGCACAGGCTGGCCTCAAACCTGTAGTGATCCTCCTGTCTGAGCCTCCTGAGTGCTGGGATTACAGGCATGTGCCACCATGCCTGGCCAAAATCCAGGGTTTTTTGGTCTGAAAATTGCAATAAAAGCTGTAGAAATCCTGGTAGACCTCCAAGTCTCTTTATCCTTATGGAGTCTTCAAGGGGAGGCCTGACAGGTGCCCTCCTCAACCAAGTCATCTATGAGCTCCTTCATATTCTTTTTCCATACCTGGCAGCTGCCCTCTCAAGGCTATTCTGGTACAAGGACAGGGGCCAACTCTTCAATTTTTATTTTAGAAAATTCAAACCTTTTCCTGGTTCCAACCCATGGATCTCATAGGCACACACCTAATCCACATCCGGAGTTTGCTTCACTAATTTGAGCTCATCCTGCTTCCTGGTGCTTGTTATTGGCTCCACACCTGGAATACCCCACCTCTTCCACTCCTCCCTGCACACACATACACACCCACAAAAGAAATATTTTATAAGATTATACAAATTCCCTCAATGCAGAGCCTCAGTGTAACTATGTTTTATCCTTTAACAATTCACAGGACTATAGAACAGCACCATTTGTCCAAAGCAATATTGACATAGTTCTCCTTAGATACATTAATGCTCTCAGCTCAAGGTCATTTGGCAGGGAAAAATATACTCATATGACAGTGTACATATAAACTCATCTAGATTTTCCATTAAAAATAGGGCATGCTTGTGTATCTTCTAGCTGGGGTTCTCTTCTTTTCCTTCTTATTTTTATTGGCATCCTCACTTGGACTGGGATTGTCATTCTCATGATACTCATATGTTGGAAACTTAAAATTCTATAAAAGGCATTTAGTATAGACAGAGAGGAGTGATTAGATAGTCATATTCTAATTTACCAAGGTATATATCTAACACTTTGGGATTTTAAAATGAAATACACACACAATAAATTAGCATATATCTGTGTAATAGGTGAAATGCATTTCTCTAACATTGCAGTGTCTATCTACCAGCCAGGGCTATTGAACATTTCAGGATCTAATGAATATGAAAGGGCTTTGAGAACACTAAAGCAATTCCCAAACAGTTCTCATCATCACGCCCTTAAATATCTCCCAGAGGTCATTAAACTAACCTCTATTCCTTCTGACATTCATCAGACTTCTCTACCTTATCCTGTGGCAGTCCAAGGCTTGGTGTTTATTAGATATCTTTTCCTTTTGATATTTACAAAATCCTGTGAGATCATTAGGACAAGAATGATTATCCTTACTTTTGGTACCGGGAATTGAACTTGGGACCTTGTGAGGCAGGCGGCAGAAGCACTGAGCTAAATCTCCGGCCCAATTATCCTTACTTTTAAAAAGAGTGACTTGAGGTAGAGTGACTTGCCCAAGGTCATATAGCTAGGAAGTGGCAGAACTGGGATTGAAATCCAGTATAATTTTTGGACAAATTCAGGGAATCCAACTTCACCCAGCAGAGAATAGACTACAACAAATAAACAAAAATTGGTGTTCAAATAGGTGATGTAGCCAGGAAAGGAAAATAGTTTCAAAGGGGAGTTGAGAGAAATTTCAGGATGATAGATCCAGACATCATTATCAAAGGCAATCGGATATAGAGGGGCATCCCTCTCCTGAGCGGAATTCACTTTGGTCCTTTTCCACCAATATGAAGCAAGGCCACCTGCTGAATAAAACCTGTCTCTTCAAATAAAAAATGCTGTGGGAAACCCCATTGGCATCGATATTATCAAAGTAGAAAAGAACCTCCAGATGTGGATTTGATTTGGACATGTAGAAAAAGTCCTTGGACCAAGATCTGTTGATTTCTTTCACTACTAACAGGGTCAAGTGCCCACCTCACCTGCAGGTTTTGACTAATTTAGCATTTCTGACTTGTGTAGTATCTGCATCCCTGCTGATAAGCCACTAGTTTCCCATAGTGCATATGAGTGTATGCAGGCTATGTGTGCAAGTCATTCATTCAACAAAAATTTCCTGGATGTTTTCTTGAGAATGTCAGTCGCTTAACAAGATGTTGGAGAAAAGACATAAAAGACATACCACTGCCCTCCTAGAGGTCACCATCTAGTTGGGGGAGAAAATAACCAAGTAAACAAATAAAAGCAATGGAAATATGTGCTGTCTGGGAAAGAAACATGGTACTGTGGTTAATAAGAATTGCAGGGGTGGAAGGGAATCTATCATATACCATTCAGGAGAAGCCTTCCCAAAAAGGTGACATTTCACCTGAGACTTGAAGGGTGTGAAGGAACCAATAGAGGGGCCCTCTTCAACCTGAGGTCAGGTGAGGGGAGTTTTATGGTAGAGATAAGGCAAGGATGGCAGAATACTCAGGAAGCCTGCTATTATGCTCCCGTTCTCTGCCTGTTCTATCTTTGCAGGGCCCTCCTTCCCTTCCTGCATCCCCACCTGCCAATTCCACCTAGTCCTTCCAGGTGTCAGGTAGTGGAGTCTCCCACCCCATCTTGAGCCGTTTATAGTTCTTTCCTGCCTATTCCTCTCTTCCTCTCCCTGCAGATCCCCTGGAACCAAGGGGTTGACTTGTGGTGGCATGAACTCATGAAAGAGGCAGGGGATGAGTTTGAGCCGGAGTGGTGTGATGCTGAGGACCCACTCTTCATCCTGTACACCAGTGGCTCCACAGGCAAACCCAAGGCAAGTGTGTGTGTGTGTGTGTGTGTGTGTGTGTGTGGTGTGTCTGTTGGGTAAAGGTGAGAAGTGAGTTTTTGAGGAAGCATGTGATGACAGAAACTTTATTCTATAACCATAAGTTCAGATATGTCACATTATCTTTTCTGAATCAAATTAAGACATCATTCTCAATTACTAGATAGTGGGGCTCAGGGTGAGACAAGTCAGGCAGGGGTTTTCATGGTACCCAGAAAAGGGAAGAAAAGGATCATCCATGTGGCTGACGTGGATATTCCTTGCCCATTCCCACATGGTTTGATTGAAGGAGAGCTATTCTGTCAACTCATGGCCAAGGGTGGGCACAGGATCCCTCTTGTGCTTCTGAGACCATAACTCAAAGTTCATTTTTTCCTTCACGGAGCATTGTTAACATCTAGTCCCCTGCCAGGGCATAGCATGAGAGCTGGAAATATTTTAAAAAACTGATTCTTCTATTGACTTGAAGACTTGAAAAGTATGCCACTCTACCTTCTACTCACCCATCCTTAAGTTCTTCTCTCCAGGTGCTTTCAATGGGCCATTGAAAGCCAGGTATCTCTCAATGGGCCATTAGAAACACAATTTTGGCCTTTTCTTCATAGGGATAGAGTAAGCCAAGTGGATTGTCTTTTTTTTAAGTAACTCTGATGATGATACACAGCAAAGACTATGTGAAGGGGCTAGGGATGTAGCTCAGTGGCACTATGGCTGCTTGAGTTCTGAGTTCAATTCCCAGTATAGGGGGTTGGGGGGATACTATGTGAGTGTGCTAGGAGTGTTTATGTGTAAGAGATGTGGATGGATCACATGATCCATGATGAGCTGATGTATATTTGATCAATGATGAGCTGATGTATATTTGTGATATTATGGCTGTGATACAGAAGATGAGATGGGAGCATAGGAAAGAATGACAGCAGGCTAGAATCCCTGAGAAGGGTCTTTCTCCAATTCTGCCCAACCTCCATTTGTTGATAAGTGGAGGTGGGCTGAAGGCCTGATTCTGAGGCCCCATTCCTCCCACAGGGCGTGGTGCACACAGTTGGGGGCTATATGCTGTATGTGGCTACAACTTTCAAGTATGTGTTTGACTTCCACCCGGAGGATGTGTTTTGGTGCACAGCAGACATTGGTTGGATCACTGGCCATTCCTACATCACCTATGGGCCACTGGCAAATGGTGCCACCAGTGTTTTGGTGAGAAGGGAGCTGAGACTTATGGCTACCTAGCCTATCCAGGGGGTGGATGAGATTATCCTGGATGAAAAGAGTTGAAGATATCATACCAGGGTGATACATACATACTCCTGTTTATAGCAGCAGAATGCATAACACTTATACATTATGGAGTACTACTGTTCCATAAAGAATGATAAATTTCAGTCATTTGAAGAAAAATGAATGCACCTTAGCATTATGATCATAATGCTAAATGAAATAAATCAGACATGCAAGCTTAAATATCTCATAACTTCTCTTATATGAGAAACCCAGAGGTATAAGTAATTTTAAAAACAAAATAAAAGATAGAAAATAGGAAACAGGGAGATAGATCTTTTATAAATGAGAAGGGATGTAAAGATGGAGAGGGGAGAGAGGGGAGGGAAAGGGGAATAAAATGAATCAAGAGATGCTAAGTACATGTACCTACTCCTTAAGATGAATGTAAGCTTTATGTACTACAAACATACTAATAAAAAAATTCAATCCTGAGTCACACTACAGGAAAAAAAAAAAGATTATCCTGTGTGACTACCTCTCCAGGCAACTTAGTTTGCTTATGACCTGGAGAAAGAAGAGTTTTGAGGGGATTATGTATCCTGACCAGGAAAGTCTCTTGGCTTGTCTGGTCAGGGAGTAAAAACATGGGTTGGTCAGAAAGGGTGAAATACAGAAACGGAGGTAATGGTAGGGGATTGGAGGGACTATTGAGAAGGACCAGAAATGACCAGCTTTCACCGGGGTCAGTTTGAGGGGATCCCCACATACCCAGATGTGAGCCGCCTGTGGAGCATTGTGGACAAATACAAGGTGACCAAGTTCTACACAGCACCCACGGCCATCCGTCTGCTCATGAAGTTTGGAGATGAGCCTGTCACCAAGTGAGACCCTTCCCCAGTTGCTTCCCCCATGGGTGTCCTTCGGGGGGTGAGGGGGTGCTTCCATTTGTATAATTTCTTTCTACTGACTCTCTGATCTGGAATAGGTGAGAAAGCATGAGAAGAGACATATGTATCCTGCCTCTCAGGGTACTCAGAACTTTACTGTCTCCTACTCCTCTGCCCAAGGCATAGCCGGGCATCCTTACAGGTTCTAGGTACCGTGGGTGAACCCATCAACCCCGAGGCCTGGCTATGGTACCACCAGGTGGTAGGTGCCCAGCACTGCCCCATCGTGGACACCTTTTGGCAAACAGAGACAGTGAGTGAGGGGTTCAGAAGGCTGGGACTCAGAGACAGTGTGGAAAGACTGACTCAAAACCCTGATCTCTGCTTCCCACAGGGTGGCCACATGCTGACCCCCCTCCCTGGTGCCACACCCATGAAACCTGGCTCTGCTGTAAGTGCCCTGTTGTGTGTGTGAGCGCTGCTGGTCCTGGGCTTGGCAGGGGAAGGATCTTGGGGCATTTGGCCTGCTGGAGAGTTGGGTACTGAACTAATATGACTAAGGAATTTGGGGCACTGGGTTGCCTTGGAAGTTAAATCAGAGTTGCCTCATTCCTCTTTTTGGGTTCTCTCTCCCTTTTGCTTTTAGTCCTTTCCATTCTTTGGTGTAGCTCCTGCAATCCTGAATGAGTCTGGGGAAGAGTTGGAAGGTGAAGCTGAAGGTTACCTGGTGAGGTCCTGACCCTTGGGTCTTTAAGCAGAAGGGATACGGGTCCTTGTGGGTACTCTGACTCACAGTTTATAACCTAATCTCTCCTGGTAGTTGCTTAGGACTGAAGCTCTACAGTTGAGGGATTGTCCTCTGCTGAGACTCCAGGGAAAACCTTTGCCTGTATTTCTGCCTTTTGGCGCATAAGGTTCTTAAGGGCCTTTAAAAAATATGTTCAGAGATTCATGACAGTACTTTTTTGGGTCGGAAAACTTAGCTCCAGTTCTTCCTTTGATGAACATTGTCAAGAAAGGAAGCTTCATAACATAGAGGACAATCACATAGGCTCTGGCATTAGACTGCCTTGGTTCAAATCTTGGCTCTGCCTCTTCTATGACCTCAGATAAAAGTTATCTAATGCATTTGAATTTAAATCAATCTCTCTCTCTCTCTCTCTCTCTCTCTCTCTCTCTCTCTCTCTCTCTCTCTCCCTCCCTTTCCCCCTCCCCACCCCTCCCCACCAGCCCCCAACTACAGCCTCCACCGCCGCCGCTGCCTCAAAATTCAATAAAATGAGCTCTTATTTCGTCAACTCACTGTTCTCCAAATACAAAACCGGGGAGTCCCTGCGCCCCAATTATTATGACTGCGGCTTCGCCCAGGACCTGGGCGCCAGACCCACCGTGGTGTACGGTCCCAGCAGCGGCGGCAGCTTCCAGCACCCGTCCCAGATCCAGGAGTTCTACCACGGGCCGTCGTCGCTGTCCACGGCGCCCTACCAGCAGAACCCGTGCGCCGTGGCGTGCCACGGGGACCCCGGCAACTTCTACGGCTACGACCCGCTGCAGCGCCAGAGCCTGTTCGGGGCGCAGGATCCAGACCTGGTGCAGTACGCGGACTGCAAGCTCGCGGCCGCCAGCGGCCTGGGCGAGGAGGCCGAGGGCTCGGAGCAGAGCCCGTCGCCCACGCAGCTGTTCCCCTGGATGCGCCCGCAAGGTGAGCTCCGGCGGGCCCGGGCAGGGGCCGGGGACCGGGGGTCGGAGGGGGTGCGGGGCGCGGGCCCAGGGCGGGGAAGGGGCGGGCAGGCCGGGCGCAGCGCCTGCAGCTCCTGAAGACTGGGCTGCGCTGCAACCGCCTGGCGCTTCTTCCTCCTCTTCTTCCTCCCTCTCTCCTTTCTTTTTTTCCCTTCTGTCTCTCTCTTTTCTGTCTGTCTCTCTTTCTCTCCCTTTTTGTTTCCTTTGAGGGGGCTCGCTGAGCGACATTTCCTGAATCCATAAACCCCTCACCCTGTCTCACTTCGTCCTCCGATCCTCCCCCCCTTTTACTGTTTTATGGGGGGTAGTGGAGAAAGGGTGGTGGGAGTGGGGGCGCTCAGCCCTTGCACTTTTCAATTGCTTTATAGTTTAATTACCCTGAAGAAACTTTTCTTCTAGGGCAGAGGCTCTGGGGGCTTTTCAAGGTGGGTTCGCTCATCCCCAGCCCGGCTTTTTTATCCCCCCCCCCAACCTTCCTTCTAAACTTTATGGCACTTTGGATAGAGCTGAGCCACCCCCCCACCCGACTGTGGCGCTGGTTAGCAGGGGAGGGGGCTCCCCCTTTCTGGCCCCCTTGGATTCAGTGCCGCCTGACCCCCTCCCCCTCCGCTGGCCTCGGCCTCCCCGCGCCCCCCGCCCCCGCGCGGCTGGAAGGTCCCCTGCCCTTATTACCCCGGTCTCCTAGGCTGGTTCACGACTCCGCAACCTTCTCTGTCCCTGCCCCCTCCCCCGTCCCGCCCTTCCCCCCCTCCCAGCAGCCGCCGGACGCAGGCGAGGCCGACAGACCTACAGCCGCTACCAGACCCTGGAGCTGGAGAAGGAATTCCTATTTAATCCCTATCTGACTCGCAAGCGGCGGATCGAGGTGTCGCATGCGCTGGGACTGACAGAGAGACAGGTCAAAATCTGGTTCCAGAACCGGAGGATGAAGTGGAAAAAAGAGAACAACAAAGACAAGTTCCCCAGCAGCAAATGCGAGCAAGAGGAGCTGGAGAAACAGAAGCTGGAGCGGGCCCCGGAGGCGGCGGACGAGAGCGACGCGCAGAAGGGTGACAAGAAGTAGGCTCCAGCTGGGACAGCCAGGGCCGCGCCGCCCGCCGCCCGCCGCCCGTCGCCCCGACCCTCGGCGGCCACGCGTCCCCGCGTCCCCGAGCCGCGCGCTCCAGCCCCGCCGCGCGCAGAGCCTCCCACCGCAGCGCCCCCCGCCGCGCCAGTCCCCGCTAGTGGTAGTCTCTGTAATAGCTTCCGTGTGTGCGCCGCCGTGGGTCTCCTTCCCTACCCGGGGGCCGGGAGAAAGAAAAGGATTGGAAGCCAGGACTCCCTCGCCCCGCGAGGATGAGCGGCCGCGGCCCGCCCGAGCCCCCACGCCCCCGCCCCGTGTACAAAGCCTCGTTGTGCAATGGTCTTTTTCCTTTGAACGTGCTTCTTTGTAAAGACCGAGGTACCGATTTCTGCTAAGTTCTCCCAACAACATGAAACTGCCTATTCATGCCGTAATTCTCTATCTCCCTCTCCCTCTCCCTCTCTCTCTCTCTCTCTCTCTCCCTCCCTCCCTCTCTCTCTCTCTCTCTCCCTCCCTCCCTCCCTTCCTCCCTCCCTCTCTCTCTCCTGGTGCG